TAAATATAAATATATATATTTATATATATAAAGATATATATATATACATATAAATGTATATATATATATATATAAAGATTATATATATATATTTCTATATATATATATATATATACAAACCTGAGCCGCTGCTGTCTTCATCTGCGTCTTCATAAACAAATCTGTAAGTGCAGGGTAAATCAACGATTTGCTTCCAACGGGGCTTGATGCATGCAGCAGCAATTAGACAAACAGTAGCAGCAGCAAGTGCTGCAGCAGCAGCAGCAAATAGCTTCGTCCATCCCTGCGGCTGTGGCAGCAACCACTGTGCTGTTGCTGCTGCTGCTGCTGCTGCTACAACTCCAGCAGCAGCAAATAAATATAATAAATGAAAAAGGCTGCGGGGCCCAAAGGCAATTGCAATAAGACGAGGTAATAAAGAAGCAGATCCGATGAAAAAACATAAAAACAACCCTAAAGAAACAGCAGCAAATGCTGGTGCTGCTGCAGCAGCTGCTGAGGCTGCACATCCGCATGCAGCAGCACCAATTGCTTCGTTTAAAACAAGAGAAGCATAGCTGCTGCTTCTGCTGCTGCTGCTGCTAAGCGAAGCCCAAAATGCAGGAGCCATTAGCCCTAGGAGAGCAGCCAAGGCGGTTGTTGCTGCTGCATGCACATTCCACCCTTGTTGCTGCAGCTGCTGCTGCTGCAGCAGCTGCTGCTGCTGCAGCTGGGGCAGCTGCAGCAGCACGGGCCAGAGAGAGAGCAGCAGAGCACATGCAAACGCATTAAGGGTGCCTAGAAGCAGCAACACCACTGCACGGGGTGTATAGGCAGCTCTTCTTATACCCATACAAACTCCGACTGCAGCAGGGGCGAAGAGAGAAGCAGTAGCAGATTCTAAGAAGAGTGTTTTTACTTTTTTAATAACTTCATTTACAGGCATTAAACAGAAAGGAGATATCAACTGAGATAAGTACACCCCACACAAATCTTCGCTGCTCAATTCAGGTGTATAGTCACCTCCTGCACTTTCAAGCAAAACACTGCCGCCATTTAGAGGTAAATCTTCTTTTTCCTTCAGCCCTCGCCAGCTATACCTGCACAAAACCCTAAACCCTAAACCCTAAACCCTAGTGGGTGTACAGGCAGTTGGGGAGATCAAACGCAAAACTCGTCAGTGCTTGCATGCACCCAATGCAGTGTATAGGCAGCTAGCTTGGAGGCTGAGGTGTATAAGCAGATTGCTATAGAGTTGAAGTGTATAGGCAGCTAGCTAGGGTGTTGCGGTGTATAGGGAGCTAGCTACGGAGTACGGGTGTATAGACAGCTAGCTAGGGAGTTGGGGTGTATAGACAGCTAACTATAAAGCTGCGGTGTATAGGCAGCTGATTCTTTTTGTGGTTTTACCAGGGCGGATTGGCGATGAAGACTGAGCCTAGTATTTCTAGAAGAAAAATAACAGAGGCCAGCGCTCGTATTGCTGTCTGCAGTTTCTTTATCTCTGCATCTAGGCCTAAACCCCAGCAACAACAAACCCTAAACCCTAAACCCTAAACCCTAAACCCTGAGTCAGCGGAAGCCTAGAGGGATAACGGGGGTTGTTCATTTTCCCTTGAAATCACCCTGATAGAAGTGTGGCAATGCCACTTAGGGTTTAGGGTTTAGGGTTTAGGGTTTAGGGTTTAGGGTTTAGGGTTTAGGGTTTAGGGTTTACCGGCGTTGTTGTGTAGATCTTTGGTAGGGGAAAAGGAGAGAAAAAGAACGGCTGGAGGTGCAGCGAGAAGGAAGGCCAAAATAAATGAAGAAGGTCTTAGAATATTGCTGATATGAGGTGTACGTACACCCCAACGAAGTGCAGCAGTAGCAGACGGGAAGAGCAGCAAACCAAAGGCAGCACCGTTGATGAGTGCAAAGACCCCGCAAATAAGAAAGAAGTTGCAGATAGAGATAGAAGAAAGTATGCAGCATAAGAAAGATAAACAAGAACCAATTAAACAACAAATGCGAGGGCCTTTCGCATTGTCTATATACACCCCAGCAGGTAAACCTATCAGACACCCCACACCGAAGCAAGCAAGCGGCCACACAGACAGCCGCATATCAGCAGCAAATGATGCATTTGAGGTGTATGTAGACCCGAATTCGCACACATGCATTATCCTTGCTAATATACAACTCCATACTAACGCCCCCCCAAGCCCAAGTGTTAATAAAGTAGAGCCTAGTAGAGCAGAGGAGGCTGTAGGTTTAACAGTGCCCGTGCATAGACGCCAACTCAGCAGAAACTGCTTCTCCTTAGCCTCCTTCATGCTGTAAAAACTCAAATAATACAAAAAATACACAAAAATTCAATCAATTGTTATCATTCACACATGCAGCAGCTGCACATACACCCCAACAGACCATTGGGCACAGCAGTACGAAGAGATCCCCTGGCTGTCTGCATCTGCTGCAGCGAAAATAATACTTATTTCGTCAATTACTAATTATATTTCGATTTTAAAACTACAGAAAAAAACTCAAAAAGGCAGACAAAAGCAGCAGCTGCTGCTGCTGCTGCAGCTGCTGCAGCTGCTGCAGCTGCTGAGAGAGCCGCTGGTTTCCTCGTATAGGCGAAGAGAAAAAGGTTTATTCTTTCAAACTATTTGGGTTTAAATAGCTTTAAAATATTATATTAATGCATTTTAAAAGCTAAAGACGAAATATTTTCAAGATTTAACTTCAATTAAATGACGAAGTACTAAACAGCAATAATACCGCTGCTGGACGGTGGAGGCAAGGGCAGGGCTTTCTATGCATTTAAATTTAAGGTTTTTATAATAATTTTATATTATTTACATTTCGTAATTTAAAATAAATATAATTTCAGTCAATTTTCATTGAAAATGTAACTCCAATATACCCTTTTTATACTCTACCGAGCTGCCTATACACCTGAGAGCGGACGCAAATCGACCGGGCACCGTCGTTCTAAATCTAAATTTATTATTTAATTTTTGTTTATAAAAATTAATGTCTTTATTAATTTAATAATTAAATAATTAAAAGAAAAAACATGCAACTACCATGTTATATTTTCTGCAGCAATCCCAGGGTCACTCGTATCGGCTTTGCATAGCAGCGAAGACCTAAACCCTAAACCCTAATGCCCTACAACAAGAAGAACCTAAACCCTAAACCCTAGAACCTAATGCCTACAAGAAGAGCCTAAACCCTAAACCCTAAACCCTAATAAACCCTTGCAGCAGCACCTAAACCCTGAACGCCAAACCCTTGCAACGAACGTAGCCCTCAATCCCAACCCTAAATCCTTGCATGCATCCTTCCTCCTCTAAGCCCTAATAATAAAATATAATAAACAAATGTATGATGTACATTAATAATAAATGTATTGCAGAAAAAAACCCTAAAACGCCAACCACTGAAACCCTTTGTTTGTAATTGCCGTCCATTCGGAAACAACAGCTACCCCGGGTTGCAGCAGCAGCAGCAGCTGCAGCAGCAGCTGCTGCTGCTGCTGTAGCTGCTGCTGCTACAGCTCAGAGCAGCAACTCCAGCTGCAGCTGCGGCTGCAGCAGCTTCTTCTGTACTCTCCCTCTCTGTCTCTGCTACACTTCGCAACCTGCTAGCAGCACAATGCTGCAGCAAGTTGCAGAACTGCAGCAGCGAAGTGCAGCAGCAGCAGCAGCAGCAGCAGCAAACTGCAGAAAGTAGCAGCAGAAGATATGCTATCTGCTTTGCATACACAAATTCTTGTGTAGATATATACCCGCATGCATGTAGGTATATATTATATATAACGTAGAAAATAAACTCTATATAATTTGCCTTAGCAATACACAACACAAACACAACAATGCATAAATATAAATATATATATATACATAAATATATAAATATATATATATATAAACATATATATACATAAATATATAAATATATATATTGCGTTAATGCACTTTCTATCTACATACAAACAATGCAGTATACAACATACAACATATATATAATATATATAATATATATAATATAAATATATAAATATATATATATATATATATTTTATGCCTACATAAAAGATATTCATAGATGCATGCATACACTACAGCGCCTTGCTGCAGTGTCGTTGCAAACAAACGCAAACACATACACACAAATATATATA